ACCTTATCTTTAATATTATTATAAAAATTAAAAATATTTTACCTTTCTAATAGATGTTAATGTTGTGCTGTGACTCGTAAATGTTTGATATTTGAATTATTAATGCAGCGTGTATGGAATAAAAGTGAAATTTTTTTAAGTAATTAAAAGAAAAAACAATAGGACGACCCAACCCTTGGACCTACAACTCTTGAACGGGCTAAAATAGAAGGAAAACCAACTTGGTTGTTCGAGTCACTAACTTGAAATTTGAGGATGGTTCGAAAGATTTCTCCAACCCAACTTGTATACATACCCCTATTAAATGGTTGATTTGTATTGGTGTAGCGAGCATTACTGAACAATGACAAGAACTTCGATTCCTACAAACAAACAGCTGAGTCATTCATGTGTCGGATTCTACCTAATTCTCCATATTCCAGCACACAATACACACAAGGTATGCTATTTTCCGTCCAATTTAAGCATAATTCAATCTGTAGTTCATAATTTAAGCTCGAAAGTTAATAAGCTTAGGATTTGTGTAGGGGGATTGATGTTCAAGTTGCCACAAAGTAACCTCCAATATGTGACATCCATAACATTTTTGCTGACCACATATTCCAAGTACATGTCCGCCGCCAAGCACACCTTCAACTGCGGCGGCCTTCTTGTCACTCCGGCATCCCTCAAGAATCTAGCAAAGCAACAGGTAACTACCAAACGCCGTCGTTTTTGGGCTCAACTTAATAACACTTTTTAATTAATTTAACAATTTAAATAAATTAATTCAGGTGGATTATATATTGGGAGTGAACCCATTGAAGATGTCATACATGGTGGGGTTCGGCAGAAACTTCCCCAAAAGAATCCACCACAGAGGATCTTCGCTGCCGTCCAAGGCCAGCCACCCTCAGGCCATCGGCTGCGACGGCGGTTTTCAGCCCTTTTTCTACTCCTTCAACCCCAACCCCAACATCTTAACCGGCGCCGTCGTTGGCGGCCCCAATCAGAACGATGGCTTTCCCGACGACCGCTCAGATTACAGCCACTCCGAACCCGCCACGTACATCAACGCCGCCCTTGTTGGCCCCCTTGCCTTCTTCTCTGGCAAGACTAAATGATTCCATAACATCCTATGTTATAACTACGTGAATATAGCTAGATTGATCCCCGAACGTGCGGATAAAAATAGCTCTTTTCTTTTTCTAAATGTGTTCGTAGCTTATCCTACCACCAAAAAAATATGGTGATAAAGTGACAGAATTGAATTAACACTTTGAAGCTTCTTTTAAAAAATTCAAATCAAATCAAAATGTCTGATATATCTATTAATAAAACAAAGACGGGGACAAAGATTACTGATATGAATCGAGAGACATCAATCATACAATATATTTCAATGAAGATGTGAAGAAAATGATGTTGAAATTATCAAAAGATATTTCAATTCATATCACACAGAAGAATAAAGTTTCATTGTTTTAAATTTTGGGTGGATTACAATTTAGAGTTATTATTTTATATTAATATATTTTAAGACTTTTATTTACTTCAGTTACATTTACATTATAATTAATTATGGTCAAAGTATGAATGTTAACTCTTGGAATGCCTTTAACACGGTCATTTGGAGGCTATATAAAACCCTGTATGTTGTATTTGTAAGTAGACTTGGAAAATGCAGTAAAAGAAGCATTTGTGCTTTCTTTTAGCCAATGACTAAGTTTCTTCGCAATTCTACGTAGTTTAGATTGCATGTAGAATCATTCAAACTTGACATGATCAATCTTGCTTGTGGAGTGATTCGAATCTCAAACAAGTGTTCTTGCCTTGAGATATTTAGTTAACAAGAATCATTCAAGCTAGACATGATCGATCTTGTTTGTGGAGTTATTCGAGTCTTGAGATATTCGATCAACAAGGTAATCCGAATCTTACTTCTCTTGTAGTGATTTCCATATCATTTGGTATCAGAGCCTTCTCATAGTTTGATTCCATATCAATTACATTCCCTGTCTTTATTCCCATTTCCATTCTCAACTTTGCCCGACTCCACTTTTATATATAAATATATCTATATCTATATGTTACATATTGAGATGTTTTACGTTCTTTTTCACCAATATTATATTAAAAAAAAAAGAAAAGAAATTGTCCACTTAAAAATCAATTATTAAAAAAAATGTGGAAAAGGAAAAATCTCGTGAATCTCATTCATACAAATTATTGAAATCTCGACTATAATATCTATAAAAATAAATAGAAAATTTTCTCCACCCGACATGAATTATCAACCGACATTATTTTTCATTAAAAAAATGTCTAATTTTATTACTTAAATGTCAGATTTGTTTCTTTAGAAAAGTGGAAGGTTTGATTTGAGACCACTCTTGAATTTATTCGAGGACCTTTGTTTTTTTTTGCTTTACTTTTTATTATTATTATTATTTTAATTTTAAAATTTCAAGTATTTCACTATAGAAAATCCATAATTAATTACTTTAAAAAAAAAAGAATATTATAATATTTAATCATTCACCCTTTTTATTTTCTTCCTTATATAACTCGAGTTCATTATCAAATATATGTTAAAAAGCACGATGATAGTCTCCCTAACAATATCTTCGGTCAGAACCTATACACGCCTTGCTCTTACCTTAAATTTTTTTAGAAAGGCTAAATATTGAAAATACTCTGGAAAATATGCATATATTTACGTCAAAAAATGGCAAACTCGAGGATCGTACACATGAGATTAGTAGTTGATAGTTGTCGTGCATACATATAGGTAAACTGCATGTAATAACCTTAAATTTCTACTTACTTAAAGTCGCTACAAACGTTTCATGCTAAGCTCATGTGCAGTAATACAGCTCTTAAAAAGACGTCATTGATAACATGAATTTCGAAGAAATTAAAACAACTTCATCTTTGAAAAACACTGCTATTGTCTTACGTGTTATGGTCTCTGCTTGCGATGCCACCACATCCGTGTATGGACGCTTTACCTTTACCTGAAAAATGATGTGACACACGGTCTGACTATTTTAAAAAATACCTAGTAAGTGACCCTACTATAGGGGTCATGCAAAAATGCAAGCATGCTCTAGGAACCTATTCTTAACTCATCCTAATGGTGGCTTATAGTCCGAAGTAACTTTGGATGTGTAATACTTTCATACACACGACCCGCACGTGCGAGTGTGAATCTCGAGGCGGGTCGCACCCTCCCTTGACCCATCATCATCGAGCAAGTTGTCTGTAGTGACGTCTGAAGGTCAGCAAACCCCTGAGTGTCATGCTCAACATGATCACCGTTGTCATTATCATCATCATAACATGTGTGTTCGCACTCATCATCATAAAAGGGAAAGTATTCCGATGTTTATGTACACACAACATGCATGAGGTTCCTCTATTTCTCATCTTAAAACATCTTTCTGATACAACCCTAGTCTCATCTCTATCTTACTTTTAGTAATACATGCTCATTAGATATTTATGTTAATATCATTATTCAGGCTATGTAGGGTTGTGTCCTAGGCCGATTTCTCAACATGATGCAATATGATATTCATCACATACAACATGCTTAATATGGAAAACATCATCATATTAAGGTAACAACGTCATGCATCATAATCATCATCATAATGTTATCAAATATATTATAATCATCAAGTATCAACATACATCATCATGCGTCATAATTAATATACGTCATCATACGATATTCTACGTCATAGCTCATATATCATACATCATAATTCATACAAGTTTCTAGCATATCCTATACTCAGACCACTTACTTGGTTGACTTTAGCCAACGTTCTCCCTAAATTTATGATGTTAGCTCTCGTTCCTTGAAAGTTGTTCCAAACGTTGTCAGAGTTAATTTTCTTTTAGATACTTCATCACCTTTCATTAGTATTTCACAAATAATAATAATTCCAATTGACATTTGTGAAATACGACGTTAAAATGATCTCAATTACCTTAATCGGGGTCAAAATCAGTTATGAAGGAATAAAAAAACGTAGGGACTGGGGTTTAGTTTGCTAAAGTTTTTAAGCCAAGGGACTACATGAAGCCTAGGGCTTCTGTTTGCTATAGGTCGACACGTGTTGCTCAAGGGAAACAACACGATGTTGTTGCTTCTCAGGTCGAGGCGTGGTTTCAAGTTAGCTCGCAGGTCGCGTCGGTGCAGGCATAACTAATCTATCATGTTAGAAAAGCTAAAATAACCTTGAACCTACGACAATAAAAACTATTGAACCCACTAAAATAGAAGGAAACCAAGCTATATAAAAGCATAAGAAATTCCTTAAATTGGCCTAAAATTATAGAAAAAAAAAATTCTCGAGTTGAACTCTAGGGAGATCAACAAATATCTAACTTACCCAGTAATGATTCGTTCCTTAATGAGTTGTTCGACCTTCCGATGACATTCAATGGCTCAGTGTGTGACGATGACATGAAACAAACGAAGGAGAGTCGATAAAAATTCACAAAAATCGATGATAGCTAGTCGATATCCTTCAAAATTGAGAGAGAGCTTTGATGCATGGTGTGCTTTCACATATTTAACAAATAAAGGGTGACTCATCAGAGTTTTCGCCGGTTCGAAGAACGGGTCAAACCCAACCCTTGGATAGTTACGAAAACTTTGAATATCTAATCTTTTAGGGGAAGATATATACTTCTGGCTAATAGAATTTTATTAAATTCATGTAAATTGATACACTTATTTAATTTTATATCATATACCATAGTGTCATTGTCTAACAAATGAGATGAATTAATTATTCGACTGTATAATTAATTTTTAGACCATTAAAATTGTTTAATAAGTGATTAGGATAACATATATAATCGAGATCTATAAAATATCTAAGTGAAATAAAAACTAATAAAATGATTAAATTTCCATCATTCCACGTGTACGGTTCAAATAAAGAGTGGAATAAGAAAATCGAAATCGACGTGGCAAATGGGAGCCATAAGAAATACAGGTCAATCGGCACACTGACTTAGCTGTCGTTTCTCTTTCTTGTTTATCCTTTAACTCAATTTATTTTTGCTTGCATTCTGCAACTTAGGGTTAGGGTTTTGCATCGCAGAACAATCATGTCAGGAAGATCAAATGGTTGCACTATTTACATAGGTTTTTCGTTGTTATCTCTCTCCTTCATCTTTCGTTTTAACTTCTTCGTTTTCCTTTCATCAGGATTCTGTTGTTTGCGTTTTAAGCTATGTTTTTACTTCCTTCCTTCCGTGAAGTTCCGTATGTAAATTAGGCCTTTCGGTGCTGGATTTTCCTAAGAATTGTGTTTATTTCCTTCTATTATGTGCTACCAATGGATGCATAGGACATAATGATATATTTATCGATTCTCTTACAAAGCTCTGCTTTGATTTTCTTTGGTGGTTGAACAGAAAGGATTGGATCGTGTGCCGGATTTCTTCCTCCCCAACTTTTTTGCTCTCTTTTAAATGCGTTTGATTCCTGTTTATAGCATACTTGATTTGCTGCTTGTGGGGTGAAGAAGATTGGAAGTTGGCCTTATTTTGTGTTTGTTTCACTTAGATCTCTTACTTAAATTTCATTTATGCTTAACTGCTTCAACCTCGATTTCACTTTGCCCACCATCTTTGATCTGCTTCTATGTAGATTTTCCTCTTATTTCTCTAATAACTGGATACTCTGCGCATATATTCTTCCGGGGAAATTTTCTTCACCCCTCTTATCTTCTGATACAGTATCATACATTAAATTTTAAGGATGCAGCCATCCTCTTACGGTTTAGATGCTACCTACATCTTCTTCTGAGTCTGATTTTGTTACTCTCCGCTTTCTTTAGGAAATTTGGATGAAAGGGTAAGTGATAGGGTTCTGTATGACATTCTAATTCAAGCTGGGCGGGTAGTGGACTTGCACATTCCTCGGGACAAGGAATCCGGCAGGCCCAGGGGTTATGCTTTTGCAGAATATGAAAATGAGGAGATTACCAACTATGCTGTTAAGCTTTTCTCTGGTCTCGTGACTCTACATAATCGTACCCTAAAGTTTGCAGTATGTTATTAATTTTTTCTTTCTCAACGCAAATTCTTCATGTTTTCTTTTATCTTGGTTTTTCTTGATCAAATTTGTTTCCTAACTTATACATGTTTTGTTTTTATATTAAAGTTTCATGTACTAAGTATATATTAATTGGTGAAGTTATCTTTGTAACAATTTAAAATAATCTAAAAATTGTATTCCTTCATATGCCTTATGTGGCATATTGCCTAACTTTTCTAAAGTTTTAGAACCACATCCCAATTATACCTATTTGTTCTAGTTATTTACAAATCATAGTTCGCATTTAGAAACAACCTTGTGTCATCATAATTAATCAATGGGAAGAACCAAGATAATTCATGGATCAAACGTCATAGTTTATCTCACAGTGCTATACTTAATCTAGTTTAGTTTATATCACCACAAGTTTTAGTGACGAACTAAAACGTTCTTGAAAAACCAAAAACAAGTCTGAACATATAATTTCATATATTAAAATGATATCTATTAGTTTTCTATGAAGTTGTATCTTTTAAGTCTTATTTTTTACAGAATAGTAGCAATATAAACAACAATGGAGGGGAACATAGTGATATAAAGTTTCCTTTTCTTTTATATTTTAATAGATGATATTTTTTTATACACAATTATATACTGTGCTGTCTCGTATTTCCAATTTTGCAATCAGACGACTGTGCAATCTTCTTGCATCAGTTTTGATTGTGTGGTGAGTTTTAAAGTTATGGGAATGATGCATAATTTTTGACGTGCAAACAGGTATCTGGGCAAGACAAGCCTTCACCTAGTAGTAGTGCAATCACTTCATCATCAAATATATCTCATAAATCAAGGTCGCAGATTGTTCCAGGTTATTCTAATGAAATATCTTCATATTCCAATCGCTTGTCAAACTCGTGCAGGTTTTCTGCATACCCAGAGAACCATCTAGAAGGTGATTTTCCTGATATTCCTTTATTTTTGTCTTTGTTTTGTTAGTTTGCTAAGAAGTTGTGTATGCTTTCATGTGCCTTTCCTACATTGGTTCAACGAATCTGTATTTCTTTTATTCAGCGCCTCCTTACCCTGGGTTAGTTAACCAATCTAATGGGTATGGATCAAATTCGGATCACCACAATAACCAATACAGTCAGAGATATTCTGGGACAAATTTGGATAGCTTTAACCATCCTAAATCACGCCGCCATGATACGAGTTATCCAGTATACTATCCTCCTTATGAACTTTTGAACTAAGGCAGCTAGCGCATACCATTTTGGTTAATCTTAATGGTGTCCTAAGTCTTAGGATAAGTTGGATCTCTTAGTTGGATGCAGAAGGTTTAGTAGAAATGACATGGTATTTGCTATGGGCATACTGGTTCAATATATTGTCATTTTGTAGGTGTATGTATTTGTATGATTTAGCTGTGTTGTTATAGTTGATGCTCTAATTAAAGTATTGTAATCTATTTGATTAAATAGTCAGATTTTCTTCAACTCCAGTTTAATGTAATGGGAGTATAAATGATATTTTTCATGGTGACTGCAAGGAATAGCCTTTTGTTTTGTGTATATTAAATATTTATTTTTCTTTGAAGTGTTTTACTTGATCCAATGTGTGAATGTTACTAATGTTTATACTTATTGGTGGTGGCTTTATCATGTCGCCCTTTTAGAATTGGTTAATTTTATTTAAAGACAATGGGTAAAATTGTCGACCTGACTGGTTTACTTTTCAGTGAAGTGGAAGCTAAACTACTTGTTATCCTTGGCATTTTTGTTTGTGTTTATTGTCATTTCTGCCTTTGGGTATGCCAGTACTCTAATACTTGGTAGGTTAAATTGTAAGGTGGCATGATCTAGCTTTGACCTGCCCCCCTCACTATAATGCACAAGAGAACCTAGAAAAGTTCACTTTCTTCTGGGAAGAAGGAAAAGCCAAGCTCCAAAATGAGAATTGATATGACTGCTTTTGTTGCATTTTGTAGACCTAGTTCATAGCATCCTTGTTTGAATATATATTTTTCAGATTTACGTTTGTTTATCAATAATTTCATTGTTTAGCGTTTCAGTTTAGAACATGCTTGAATTCTGAAAAAAATTAAAAAATGAAATCTGAAAACTATTTAGAGTAGCTTTAACTTTCTGGAAACATTTCCGATAGTTGATTAAAGCATGCTCATTGTTTGTAACAAGCATAATTTTGAAAGCAGAAGAAAATTCGATGTCTGGTAACCTTTTGTTTGTCTTGTCCTCTTATCTTTTTAGACTTCTGATTCTTATATTCTAAAGTGCTGCGTAATCTGAAAAATATGTATGGCATGCTTGAAAATTTCTTGACGTAATAGCTTTTTGAAAAGATTTAATGTTTGAAGAATTAGTTTTTTGAGAAACATAGGTTTGTACTAAGCTTGAGAGCCATTCGTTATTCGATAGTAGATAAAACATTTGGTGATCAGGTTAGTGGCAGCTCTATCCGAGGATCAATAGTGGTTTCTATCAATATTCAAGAATCTAAATGGCTCCTCTTATTTGGGCCCAAAGTTGTTGTGTGGAGTTGCCCATTAATTTTCCATTCTTTATAATATGAATTTGTGCATTTCCTCATTTCTTCCCGTTTTGTTGGTTGTGAAATCTTTATTTGATGTGTAATACGTTTGTTTGTATGGGTATGATAAATGATCTTTCTTTGGCTGCGTTGTAAGATTTTGGATAAGTTTGATGCAGTCATATAGCTTTAGTTAGCAAGTAGTGTTTTTGAGTGAAATCCTCTTGTATGAAGCACTAGTAGAGAAAAGTACATCGATTTAGTGCTGTCAAAGGATTTGCATTTGCCTTTTCAAACAAGAAGTGAAAGTGTAATGAAAAGCATCCACGTCCCAATGGATAGTACATCCTAAAGGCCTTCTAAACCTTTGGTGGTATAGGTTTGAATCCTAGTGCTTAAGTTTGCTTCTAGGGGCATATATTTTTAGTTTCGAATATATATGTATATGTGATGCCATTGTCAAGAAAGTTGGAGAATGGTGGTAAACTGATGGAAATATGGAGCTTGGAAATGGATGGTCATAGAACAGAGAATATCGAAGATGGATGGCGAGATTGAAGCAAATAGTCAATTTGATTGCTTTTGTGGTGGAATAAGGCGTTTTGTCTTGTATTTGATTTTGTGCAATCACATAGAATTTGAATTGAAGGAAGAGGTTCCCTGTAATTGAAATTAGTATTAGCATAGTTCATTAGGCAAGATAGTGGGTAAGCCGTGGTTTTCTGTCCGAAAGGATTACATTTCTGGCATCTTCTCTATAATTGTATTTAGAATTGTTTTTCTTTGTTAACCATCCATTCAAAGGCAGCAACAGGAGGGTTGTGCTCGTTGGATGATTACGAAGAAAATCTCGAGCTCGTATTGGTCATAGGTATGGGTTCAATAAGCTTGTTTGGATTGGTCACGGGCATGAGCAGAAGCTTAGAAAGCTGAGATACAAACTATTTGTGAAGAGTACAATGGAATGTAAAGCAAAGCATGTGGGTAATTTATGATTTATTAATCATACGTTTTCTTTTTTAATGGAAATCATGTATTTCAATTTATATGGGCAAGTAGCATTTGAATCAAGGTTAACTCTTGAGACAATGAGTAGTTGGTCACTTATTTTCATTTGTTGGGATAAAATGTTAAAATTTGGGGTAGATTCAAAGTTTGGGTTTTCTTAATACAATAAATATAAGGAACGAGATTTGAAGCTTCAATTGTCAGAGATGCATTTATTAGGGGGACAAGTTTCTTTGGTTTTTGAAGGAAGTTGACTTTTGGGTTAGCTTTGACTTGACATGATCTTAAACGTGTAGGTTTAAGGTTTGTCCAAGTGCAAGTCTAGCGGGCGCAAGACACTTTGGGCTCGGATTGAGGGTCTACTTTCAATCGCAATCACATGGCCTACCTCTTGGACTTGTCTCATTACATCAAGTTTGGGTCCGATTTGAGGTAACCCATTCAATTAGCCTATTAAACATTTATTTATTTATTTATTTATTTTAAAAAATACGTTTTAGAACTTTCTTATCTAAATGTAAATTTTTTATTGAAATTATATGCAACAATTCTATTAAAATTCTGTTTTTTTTTTTCTTTTTAATAATTAGAGACTGCTACTATATGTATGATATGTATGATGTAATCATGATGGGACACAAAGAATTTAAAATTCTGTTTTTCTGATCAGCTTTTCGAGATTTCTAATCATGATGGGACACAGAGAATTTAAAATTTAAATATGCATTCAAGTTTGTGTAAAAATACTATTTAAACTTGCAAAACTTTTATTTTTAAAAGAAATAATTTAAAAAAAACTTGTGTGGCTTGTGTTTGAAGTATAATTTAGTCTATCTCTATTTGTTATTATAATATGATAATAGTGGTGCAAAGGCTTAATGTACAGGGAATTATACTAAAGGAGATAAATCATATGGTAGGGATCAAGATTGCTTTAATGTCCATCGTTTTGATCTATATAAAAGCTTTTTAGGACAAAGTATTTGAAGATCATCTAAAATGTCAAACATTATAACACACGCCTCGGGATCTTCTCTAAGGAAAATGGGCCGAGAGTATATTGGGTATAGAGTATACCCAAAGACACATGTCTCATTAATGGGGTGTAAGTGGGAGATTGCTAAGATTTATCCTTATCCATTATTAATATATAAAGTCATTAGTATAATTTTCAACAATATATACTTAACATATAAGAGGATCGTAGTCAATAAATGTCAAAAATGATATGTATTACATTATATCCGGTTAGATACTTTATCATACAACTTAATTTGTAACAAATAAATCCTTGAAATATATACTTTTTATCCAAAATTTATGAGTTTAATCAAGAGAAAAAAAAAAAAAAAAAACCATACAAAATTATGGATTCTTCAAGATAATACAAGCGGCATAGCGCTTCATGGCTTCCTCCTCTTCCTCCATATTTATGAACCCAACTCCACACCTTTTCAATTCAATGTTCCTCGAAACAGATCCACCATAATTAACTTGTAACAAGAACCCAAATTCAATCTCTCTAAATCCTTTCATCTTCCTCCTCAGCGACTGGGTTCGAGCCAAAACAAACAACCAAATATGATCCATTTTCCTCATCCCAGAAATCGTCAACCCATTAACAAGAACATCTCCCTTCTTCAAATTCCCCTCATCCGGGTTCCTTCCGGCGACAGAAGCAATAATGGAGCCGGAAACATCACCCCCGCCGCCGCCGCCGCCACACACGACACATAGAGCAAAGCGAATCAAATTAGAATTCGGCGCGGTCGGGGATCCCATTCGACTGTAATCGAAGACCCCATTTTTGTGGTGAACCAATCAGGAATCTCACTCCCAGGAATCATGACATTGAATGCACCATTTCGAAACAACATGCTCTGCATCCAAGAAACGATCAATCTCTGAAGCTTTTTATTGCCACCCAATTGATAGCAGTTCATAAGATTCAACTCTGTCATGAAATACAATTGCTCTGTTTTTAATACAAGCGAAGGAATGGATACAAGCTAGCCGCAATCCTTCGACAAGATCCTTAAAATTCTCGGTGGCAGTTCGGGGATGCACAAAAGCTTCTTGCATCGATTCAAATTCAATATTTTCAGGTTTTGCAGCTGAGAGATTGTTGTCGGAAGCTGACTGAATTTGTTGCCACTCAAATTCAGCTCTGTTAATGAAACCAAACGCTCAATCCCTTCTGGAGTGGCTTTGAGGTTGCAGTAGCTGAGTTTCAGTTTGGTCATAGCGAACAGAGTGGCCAATAACGGGACCCCAATTGGAGAATCATCGGCCATCGAAGCTCTGCAAAGACAAAGGAACAGGCGTGTCATGATATCACATGTGCTCTGTTCATGCTCTGTTATGGAGGTGTGGTCGAAACAGAGTTGGAGTAATGTGTGTGTGTGTTGCCGGAAAATTGTGGGATGTTCTTGAGCTTTGAACAGCCTGAAAGAATCAGTACTTGAAGGGATTTGATGTTAATTTTGGTGGGAAGATTGGTGAGATTGATGCAATCTTTCAGATTCAGAAAAATAAGGTTTTTTGCAGAGAAAATGGATGGATGAATGATGATCAAACTGGTTCAGCCTTCGAGCTCTAATCTCTCGAGATTTGGAATTTCTTCGAAATTTGGAGTGTTTGTCAAGTTCTTAGAGTGGTTTAGATTGATATACTTCAAGTTCTTCAGATGCTGTCACAAATGGATCACATAATAATCGTTCGAGATATCATTTAACTAATAAAATGAGACCGATAAGAAACCTAATTTAACAGGAATGGGAGAGAGATATTTGTGTTCAAATATCATCATCCTTATGAGTTCATTGGGTATTAATTCAAGGTCCGAAGATATTTATATATTTTAGAAAAACAATTTAGATATTTTAGATAAAAGATTTAAATATTTTAGAAATAGAATTGTGTAGACTATATCGTAAATACCCTTCCACTCTACATGAATTTTCGTATCAAGAAACTCAAATAGTCTCTGAGTAAAGTATAATAGTATTCTACGAAGTGTCTTGTAATCTCGTTCCGATTTGTGTTAATAAAGAGTGCGGGTGTTTCCCACAATCAGTTGTGTTCAACAATTTCATGGGGATGAAGATTAAAACAGGAGGTGGAAATGGGACGGAGAAGTATTCCTCGTCACCACCGACCCGTCCCATAAACATCTCTAGTAATAGCTAACTAAATAAGATGATTACCTTGTTTTCGAGCCAAAATTGTTTCAAATTTCTATGGCAGATGTGGAGGCCAATAAGGTTATTATGTTGGGAACTCGAGGGCAGAAACTCCCAGGGAAATCTATCCCATTTCAAGTATCTCACCTCAGTTGGGAGCAAATGTTCTAAGTCATTTTCTGATCTCTCGTACTTAAATGGGTTCATACTCTAAAAGAAGCAACCGGAAACCATTAAGAAACAAATGGAACATAATCGATGTCAATTACGTAAACTTAAGAATACTTTCTTTCTTTCTTTACTCGACTGTTATGTATAGCCCTTGATTTCAAGGTCGAGAGAGATCTTACTAGAGTTTTTCGATCTTGTTCACGAGTACCACGATCTATCGAAACGGTTTATCCTCGTCCATCCGGCTGCCCTCGTAGTCTCATTTCTCTCCCTCTACACCTTTGTTCTAATGGAACATAACTTCAAAGATGGATCCTTTTTAGTATATGTATAGGCTTCTAGGTGTTGGTTTGCTTCCCATGGAAGATGCTTGTGATGTATGCACTCTTGAAAATTAGATATTTTTGAAATTTTTTTTAAAAAAGTTTAGAGTATTATTAAATTTTTTGAAAGTTTAAAGATATTTTTGTTGCAAAGTATAAAGGCTCAGGATGTATGAAAAACGCTATAAAGTGTCCATAATAATTTTTTTTTTTTTTTTTTTTTTTTTTTTTTTTTTTTTTTTTTTTTTTTTTTTTTTTTTTTTTTTTATACTTAGAGGCAATAAAGTAGACTTTGTTCGAGAGAAGAAAGGTTTGAAGTTCGTAAGTAATCGGTCTCCAAATGGTTGGTCAAGGTGGAGTTGGAGGAAGTTAGAGAGTTCGTAGAGTGTTGTCCTGAAGAATCTGTACTAGTCTGAGACTTCGTTTCTTGCAATAGTTAAAAACTTGTTTGGGAGTTAAAAGTGTTTTTAGCTCGTTATTTAATTATAATTAATTTTGTGAGGAGGGTTGAATTGTAAATACATTTAAGGTTGGTTTCACACTATTAGGTGGTGTCCCATTCCATTGTTTGTGCTTTGTTGTCCTTTGGCTTAATTCAAATAATTGTGTTTTATTCTCAATTTGGTTTTTGGTGTACATATTGTAATAAGTTTGTTGATATCCAATATTTAACGAGTGTCCTTTTATGCATAGTGTCACGATTGTACTTTTCGAACTTTGTGACGTCATGATCTTAACATGATTATGATAAGTCTAAGAGAAACTCAAGCCCCATTATAGCTTTCTCATTCGGCTTTATCGGAACTTAGGTGAGGTTTTCTTTTGCCGATTGAACACAATTATGACTCGACCTTGCCTTTACTCTAGGCTAATGTCCTTCAAATGCAATGTCATCTCATTTCATTGTTTTGATTTCCAACAACATAGCCCATATTTCATGATGTAATTCCAAATTCGGAAAATTTTTGGTTTGTTCAACGTCGGGGTATCCATCGGCGAATTTTTATTCATGTTTTAGGGCAGTTCTGAAAAGATACTCTCTCTTTTTAATATCTCAAAAATTCCATAGAAACCCGTATTAGGACTTAGTTTCTAAGAAAAAGAGCATTATAATAGACACTTAAAAGTGAAACCTAAATTTGGAAACTGTATAAATTTGGAAACTGTAATTGGACCTTCCAAGAATGGAGGGAAAAACTAGATAGTTTTCAATACTACTTGAGCAATGTTCAAATTTGATGGTTTTGACACGTATGATCGACAACACACACTAGAAATTTTTTTCGCTCTTGTGAATTTTCGATTTGTTCAATATCAGGATACTATCAGCGACTTTTTGTTCGTACTTTAGGCTAGTTCTGAAAAGGTACTTTCTCTTTCTAACATCTCAACAATTTCTATAGGAAACAATATTGCACTTGAGTTTTGAAGAAACATAGCCTATAACACTATAATAAGCGCTTAAAATCAAAACTCAAATTTGAAAACCCTAAATGGGCATTTGAAGAACACGATGAAAAACTTGAGTTACGGTCGATGTTTTTCGAAACTACTATGAAGAATGTTCAAATTTGATGGTTTGGACATGTGATCAGCAACCAACACCAAAAATTATTTTCTCTCGACCAATTTTCATTTCGTTCAATGTCGGGGGTACCATCGACAACTTTTTGTTCATATTTATCAATTTTCATTTGTTAATAAGGTAACCCACTCTAAATCTGAGTTGCACTCTATAACAAGTAGTGTCTATCAATATAAATATCCTTCACGAGTTGTTTTTAATTACAAATGAGTCAAAAGTCTATTTTATTCCTGTAATTCTATCTCACCTTAGATATCATCAATTCTGATGAACAATTTGTTTATGATTTAAATTATAAACTAATTTCTTCTTGGGCTCGTGAAAGAATCAGGTCAATAAGAGGAGTGAATTCCATCCAATAAGATAATGTTCACCCATCCTCGTTTGGTTAAGTCTCTTAATGTTTGACATATAAAATCGGCTACCAAAATTATTTTCACCCATGTAAATTAGAGTACATCCCACTCATATGTTTACCTAAGCAAAATTTAAATTAAATAATTTATAACCATTACAAAATAGTACGTGAATCCATATTATTAAAAGATTACATTAATAATATTAAATTTCTTTACCCATTCGATAATACTTAATTACAAATAAAATAATCAAAATTGTTATAACATCTGTGAGTTCTAAAATAAAGACAGAAATGGTTATCTTCCAATATTTATGGAGGCAGAAGAGATGGGGCCGACTGACATGGACGAAGAACTATTCCACATTGTTGAAATCCCCTTAGCCATGGATCTTGAACTAGACTCAAACAGAGCTTGATAGCCAGCCCATGGCTCGAGTGCTGGCAGTGGGTCTTCTCCATTAAGGAACCTCGTGACTTGCCTCATGCAGGGGCGAGCTTCTGGCTTCCACTGAGTACAGAGAAGCCCAAGTTTGAGCACCATCTCCATCTCCTCCACCTTATAATCCGAACCCAACTTCGGATCAGCCACATGAACAACATTACCCGTTTCATACAACTTCATCACCCAATCCACCAATACAATCTGCCCTGATCCCAGAGGCTTTCTTCCACATGCCACTTCCAGCAGCACTACTCCATACGCATAAACATCTGCGCTCTTCGACGCCTTCCCCGTTCGAAACAACTCTGGCGGTATGTAGCCTATTGTCCCGACAACTTTCGTCGTGTGCGATACTTGGTCGTGGTCGTATTGCCTCGACAAACCGAAATCGCTTAACCGGGCATTCATGTCGCCGTCTATTAGAACATTGCTCGGCTTTACATCTCGGTGGATTACCACTTGCTCCCAATCTTCATGAAGATATAGTAATCCTGCAGCAATTCCTTTGAGGATGTTCAATCTTTGCTCCCAATTCAAAACGAAGTTTTGAATTGGATGATACAAAAGAGAATGAAGGCTCCCATTTGAGATATAATCGTAAACTATGAGAAGATCGTTGTTTTTCTTGCACCATCCTTGAAGATTAACCAAGTTCTTGTGTCTTAATCTTCCCAAGCTTTCGATTTCCGCTGCAAATTCCTTCAATCCTTGGCTCGAGTTTCTTTTTACTCGCTTTACAGCAATCTCAGCTCCAGTTGAACATAACGAGCCTTTATATACTGACCCGAATCCTCCAATTCCGATTTGCTGGCTGTCTTTAAATCCATTTGTTGCTGTGTAGAGGTCTTTGTAACTGAATCTGTGAGGGCAATCTTTTTCCCAGTCCTCTAAGCTCTCAGCTTTCCTCATTTTTCTAAACAAGAAGACCAAGACAACAATTCCCAGAATGACCAGAATCGATGAAACTAATACAATAACCATAAACTGGGGATTGGATGCACGAGGATGGCTCTGCCGTTCTGGTTCTATGGGAAGGAGAGAGTACCTCAGCGGCCGTGCCAGTGCATTCACGGCGAAACTCCATCCCAGAATGTAATGAGAGCTTGTTTCGATTCCAGTCGACGCAGAGAAGCCGACGTACATTTTTTCCTGTAGAACAAGAGTTAAATCAATGGGACAGGAAAGGATTGGCTTCTCTGGTTTTTGATCTGTCAAAAGGCCTATAGAAACACTCGCACTTTTTCTGAAACCATCATATTCAATCCAAACAGCAATTGGGTCACCGGAATCAATCGAGATTTCCGAAGTGGTATCATTAAAGTAGGAATAAGAAGCATGTTTGGAGGAAACAGATACAACACCATTGATGTTAATCCCAACATCGTTTCCTCTGGAGTTCTTGAGCTCATCATGTCCTTTAACAGTGTCAAATTCAACAGCAAATATATGGTTGGATACGCTTCCATCGTTGGAACGATTAAATAATCCAAGGAAGTGCCCACTTTCAGCACCTTCAAACTTGTTTGATGGAGCCAAGGTGAATGCAAAGCCGTGGCCGCCATGGCCGGGGCTGGATGGTTTAATGGCAAACACAAAAGTTGTGGAGAAAGATGAAAGAGAAGTGTTATTAATCAGCTGAATGGAATCAGGATAGAATGCATGGCCTATGACATTTTGTGAAGTGTTGGTGAGCCTCAATGCACCAGATGGCATCACAACTGCGGTTCCATCGAGAAACAAGCCTTTTCCTTGGCTAAATCCATTGTATAATAAAGAAGATTTTGCAGAGAAAGCTGCTATATGCAAGAAGATGAAAAGAAAAGCTAAAGGATTTGGAAGAGCCATGTGCCTTTGGAAGAAAGCTCTAATCAGCTCCAGAAAAGAAAGAAAAAAACATGGCTATCCATATGAATGAACACCGTTGTTAATATAAATGAAGGGAGCTTTGAATTGGTCGCAATTGGAAGCCAGACTTATATGGATTACTGATGGGGATGGGAGAGCCGTGTGAACATTGAATGGTTTGATGGGGAAGTTCTGAAATTTCAAAGCTCCAGACCCAAATGAATCTTCAAAGAAACAAAAACTAACGCCACACATAATTTCTGAATAATACACAAAATGTAAATGAACTTGTGAATTTTCTCGGTTGTTTGGAAAAACTGATGTAGAAATAAGAGATCCTCAAAAGTCTTTTTGAAAAATTAAAGAGAAGAATCAATACACGTTTTCTTGTTATCAGTAAGACGTCAACATCAAAACAAGTCAATCCGAGTTGAGTAATTGAGCCAAGTTTGTCAAACTGGGTTAGGCAAGTCGAGTTGAGTCGTGCTAACCATGCTAGCCTAAGTCAAGTCTATCCTCGAAAGTGCACACTTGAAACCGTATTTCTATCCTATATATCATGGAAGAATGTGCCTACAAGTGTAATGGCCCAGATCCACTCCTAGTAGATATTGTCCTCTTTGGGCAGCCCTTTCGAGTTTCCCCTCAAGGCTTTAAAACGCATCTGCTGGGAGAAGGTTTCCACACCCTTATAAGGGTGTTTTGTTCTCTTCTCCAACCAATGTGGGACGTCACAACAAGATATGCTCACTAAATCCTAATTCATATCCCACCTTTCACAAAAATTCTAATTGATTTATGCATCACAGTGTGGATGATTGAGTACTATACTGGTGTTAAATTCATGGTTTCTTCATCTCGTTTCTAGGTTGAGTTCATGTAGGTCTAGCTTAACTAAATTTGTGCATAAAACTTCAATAGAAAAGATGAAGTCATTAATTGGAAGATTGGTCACAACAATAGGAAACCAATGGGACTTTTCAAAGTAAGTTTTTGGAGCATTGGCTCTAATTTTACAATTTTGTGGTCATTAGGATTGGAGTTAGAAATGCGTTCTTATTCAAACTAAACGCTCTCTAATATTATGTTCCGCAAGTCCCCTTAATATCGAAGCAAACTCCTCTCTTTATATAAGATTTCAACCACTTGAAAGCCAGCCACCACGAAGCCGCCACTGTTTGAATGTCATTCCTTTTGCATGTTAGGTGTGTATGCGCCATATAATTTGCTGACAGGCTGCTTAACCACTTCATGCGTGCAACATCTTTGCGTTGCACTAACTACGGGTACTGGAACAAGTTCTACGAGAGTGCAACCGTGGGTAGCACAGGAATTAATGTGTTGTACGAGGAGACAGAGAGTTCAAGAGGTATTGGAAAAAGTACTTCAAATGAGATTGCCAAAGCCTAGCACCACACTAAGAAATCTCGACCGAATGTCAAGTATGCCCTATTGTTGAGGATTGTTGGAAGGGAGTCCCACTTTGGCTAATTTTCAATTTAAGAACTTTGGCTAATTTCCAATTTAAGAAATGATCCTGAAGTGAGGAATATTATTTCTATTGGTATGAGGTCTTTTGGAGAAGCCCAAAGCAAAGTCATGTGAACTTATGATCAAAGTGGACAATATCATACCATTGTGGAGAGTCGTGGTTCCTAACACCTACAAGATGCAAGATTCGACGAATGTGATAGCATCACTCAACTTGTTAAATATGTATGACGCAGAAAGGGTATTCCGATCATGTACATGCACTTAAAAGTTATGAAGAAAATCTTACAGTATATTTGGGAGACTGAATCCTTCGGGTCATTCAACACTAAAGTTCATGCTAGATGGATATTCTGATAGTGATTGGTGTAGCATGTGGATGATCGGAAGAGTACATTAGGATTCATGTTCTTTTTGGGGGACACAGTATTTACGTGACTTTCAAAGAAACAATCAATAGAAGGCTACCAAATTTATTTGGATAGCACATCTGCTATCGAATTGGTTCACAATGAAAGAAACAAGCATGCTGATCTGAAGTTCCATTTTATTCGAGAGCATATGAAAGGAAAAGGAGATAGAGCTAATGCATGTGAAAAGGGAAGACCAAGTAGCTAATATCTTTACGAAGCTTAGTGCCTGTATGAAAGATGGAAGAGAATTAAGTTTCAGGCCTAATAAACTTAATTCATCAACATGAACAAATTTTGAAAAAGGTCAAATTTAAGAAGTTTATTGGATACATCTTGAGGTTAGATTCATTTGGTAGATACAATCATCATTGTTCAGAACAGAACAATATCCCAAAAGGATATTTCATATAAATTTGACACGTTAGGTCTTAGAAGAGAATGAACATTATATACAACAGTTTCTACCGAGGTTCAGCACAAAAGGGTCAACTAGTTCAACGCAAATGCATGGACCAGATAGAATATAAACCAAGGCCACGAATCTCAGTCAAGATATCAAGAGAAAACAGCGAGGGTCAACTTGCTTAACCAGAGAATCAAAGAAAAGAAGAAAACAAAACGTTCATAAGGTGGGAATATTTTAGGCACTGATTTTTTACGCTTCTCTTTTGTTTTAATAACTTTTTGTATTAAATGTTATCATCAAGAGCTATCTTTACTCTAATTTGGTGTGGTGAGTGTATCTTAAAGGAAATTAACACGTGAGAAGGAAAAAGGAAAAGTACCTCATACTATCTTCAACGCCCATTCTCCCAAGCTGTGTATATTCTTGACTGCATTAAGTTAGCCATTTTGGAGTTCTGGTGTTCAGCTGATGTGGGGTAACTAAGAATCATTACTTCTGTTTCACTTATAGGCCTGTGATCTTCTTGGTTATAGTGTTCTTTCAGTGACACACAATTCCTAGCAAGTACATAACGTAAACCGAGCGGGAGCTTCGGTAATGACTGGAGCCTACTGCAGTTGTCCAAGACAAGGCATTTGAGATTGATAAGCTGACGCAAACTATTAGGCAGGTTGGTGAAAAAGTTCCTGCTTAGATCCAGAAACTGCAATGAAGACAGAGAGCTGAGGTTGTTGGGTAGGTCTCCATCTATCAGCTTGCAATCACTAAAAATCAGAACTTTTACAGAATGAAAATTCGATAGGCAAGTCATCAACTTCAAACCAAATGAATGTGAATTATAATTCCTTGGCGTATCCCAAAATGGGAACAACGAATAGCAGAACTTTCGGGACAGGCCTTCACAGTTGAATACTTCGAAGTTCGGCAGAAGTCGTAGAGACAATGGGACATGACTAATAGAAGTACCACTCACATCAAGCTTCTTTAAACAAGAAATGTTTCCCAAGCTGTCTGGAATTTGATCAAGCTTTGAGCAGCCACCCAATGCAAGATGTTTAAGGGATGTCATGCAACCAATCGAGTCTGGGAGTGTAAGAAGATTTTTGCAGTTTCTAAGATCCAACAATTCGAGGCCAGTGAGTTTTCCAATTGACTGATGCAATTCTCGAATATCAGTGCCATCTAAATGAAGCTCTGTCATAAGTTTCATGTTTTCCACAATCTCTGGAAAATTTTCAAGTCTTGAACAACCAGAAAGAACGAGAATCTTGAGTGATTCGAAACAAATATTAAAAGGGATTCTTTTGAGAGATTTGCAATCCTTAAGATCCAATAAGATGAGATGTTTCAGAGCACCAACAGATTGATGAAGCTCCTGCAGTCTTATACAACCATTCAAGACCAACCTCTCAAGATTTGGCACCATTGACAAATTAGGGGTCTTGATCAAGAACTCAGAATTACTAAGGTTTATTATCTTCAATTTATCTAACCTCTGTTAAAAAAAGGACATGGCTACAAGAATGTCATGATATTATCAATTCAACCGTTAAAGAAAATTAAACAATGTTATTGATAAAAGTGGCATACCTTTGCTCCTTTCCAAAGATTTTCAAGGCAGCTATTCGGTAAACTGAGTTCCAATAGTTCACTCGGCTGGAAACGTGACGGTAAATGTCTTAAAGGATATCCATGCCAACTAAGAAGTCTCAACTTATCTGAGAGATACTCAAGATCTCCACAAAGGAACACATTATGAACAAGCAACACTTTCAGGCCGGTCATTGTCGAAAAGAACTTGGCATTTAAGTGTGACTCTCCATGCTCGTCCAAGTCCAAGACTATGGATTCAATGTCTTCTACTCCCTAAGAATATGCAAGGAGGTGAATTCAAAGTTCAAAAAGAGCTTGTTTCTGAACGAAGAGTAACATTGCTTACATTCTTTATTGAAGCTTTACCTGACTATGTCTCAAAGCATGGTTGACATCCTTTTGACGCCACAGCCTACAGCATTTTCCTGACGACTCCTCAAGAAAAATTTCTTGACCTAATTTTTTTAGTAAATTATGCACCTGTATTTTGTTACCGTGCACGGTTATGAGGGATTTCTCCTGCAAAATTTTTAGTCCATCAGCAGCATCAATTCCGAAACTCTTGAACATGTCAATGACTTGGTCTTTGCTCCTTCCTGTAAGAAAACAAGCAATATCCAAAAACATTCTCCTCTCTTGCATTTCAAGTGCATCATAACTCATTTTCAAGTTTTCATAGACTTCCCTGTTTAAAGAAACATTTAAATTTTCTACGGCATCTTCCCACGACGGAACCAATCGACCGTGCAAGGAAGACCCAAGAACCTTAATTGCTGATGGGAGGCCCTCAGCATATTTTATAAATTGCATACAAAGATCCAAATAACCTTTCTTACAAGACTTGATCCCAAATGCTTCATGACAGAAGAGCTGAAGAGCCTCTTCATCATTAAAACCCTCAACATTGTATCGCCTATCAACTCCGAGAGAAACAAGCAAACCTTCATCTCTAGTTGTAATAATGACTCTACTTCCAAAACCAAGATATTCTTCTCCACCTATCAGTTCTTTCACCTGGCTCACACAATCAACATCGTCAAGAACAACAAAAACTTTTCGGTTTCGTAGGTTTTCCTTTATCATTGCAGCTCCATCACCGTCTTTAATGCGAACTTTTCCTTTCAATAGAGTCATGGAAAGAAGTTTCTCCTGCAAGGATACCAAGCCTCCAACATTCTTTAAAGCTTGCCTAACATTCCGCAGAATGCAACTTCCATGAAATTCACGGGCAACAATTTTGTAAAGAGCTCTGGCAATAGTTGTTTTGCCTATTCCACCCATCCCCCATATCCCAATAAAGCGCACATCATCCAGCCCCATGCTCAAAAGCACATTTATTCTTCTTAACCTCAAGTTCATGCCAACCAAATTTTCATCATTGCTAAGTAAATCAGGACGCAGATGATTGAAAACATGCTTAACAATTTCTTGGACTTTCTCTGTTTCGGTCCTGTTCATAATACAACCACCTAAATTCAATTTCAAGTTCAAAATTCAATTTCCAAGGGACATGAGAACTTTGATACTGATGTATAAGAGAGAAGGAGCAAGAAATCATACTCGTCATTTACATGCCATCCAAAGAGACCTCCAACCTCTCTCATGGCACACCTCCAGCTCTGAACCTCTTCGAAATTCTCCTTGATGTTATTTTCGTGGTCTATAAAGAAATTTTCATAAATTCCAGTAGGACTGATGACATCGAAGGAATTAATTTTGTGGAAAACCACGAGAACCGTTTGACCTAATGTGTTCTTGCAATGGACGATCTTAGCCAGTTCCCTCAAGCACCACTTGGAATCTGCATAGCGTTGAGATAGAATAACAATGGTGGAGCGCGACTCCTCAATCGCTTTGATCAGCACGTCGGCAATGGCCTTCCCCCTCTCGAGCTCATCGTCATCTCTGAAAACCACAATGCCTTGTCGCCTGAGAGCTTCGTAAAGATGGTTGGTGATGGTCTTGCGAGTGTCCTCGCCTCTGAAGCTCAGAAAGACGTCATACGACCATCTAGGAGAAGAAGAAGAAGAAGAAGAAGCAGCAGCTGATTTCTTTGTGATTGAGGAAGCCATTCACTACTTGATCCGGGTGCCGGAGAAGGATTACAAGGAAGAGAAGCATTCGAAGTTGATGGAAAATGTTACGAAATCTGGACTTTCCATTGATTTTCAGAAACTTTTTCCACAGTTTCTCTCTCTCTATCAGACGACTGACGATTGAAGTTTGAAGTGCTGACCATTTTTTCTTTTCTATTTCTTAAATATTCTTTTTATTATTTTATTATTTTTTATATAAAATAATTAAACAAACAATGTTTAGGTTGAAACAATAATAAAAATACACTAAATTTTATTATTTTTCTTGTCTGTATTCGAATATGTCTTATTCTAATTTGTTTGAGACTAAATTTTTTCCAAAAATAAATCTTTAAGAATTGAAATATATATATATATATATATATATATATATATTTGATATTTTTGAAGTTTTTAATTATGAATACATAAGTAAGAAAACATTTGCCGCCACCTCCCAGAGGTCTCTAACCCCTTAATTTTTGCCAGTCCTCCACATTAACCATCCATCCTTCTTCCCGAAAGGAGATTTTAGTAAATAACTAAATATAATACTTGAAGTCAAAATCAATTTGATTACACCATATATATCAGGTTGGACAGATCGGACTATATTCAACTGAGCTGTCCCGACCATTTCCAACATATTAGACTTACTTGGAAGAAGGAAGAACAATTGCCCTACTTGGAAGAGACTCCAAGTACTTAGCCTCACATCAATGCTAAGATCACTTCGAACATGTACTGAGACCTGAAGTTAGCCGCACCCTACATCGTTGAGTTTGTAAAGAGTCGGTTAATAGAGACCTCAACCAATTGAGTGGGGGATGATCTCATGGTCATGCTTGTCCAAGGCGTGTTGCCTGTGGCCACATGTAAGATGTCCCGGTCATGCTTGTTCATGACATGTTGTCTATGACCGCATGCTCATTTGAAACCCCTTTTACCTACTTTCATGTTAGATAGGTTTTTATTGAGGATTGTTGAAGATTGTTGGGAGTGAGTCCCACATTAGCTAATTTAGGGAATGATCATGGGTTTATAAGTGAGGAATACTATCTGCATTGGTATGAAGCATTTTAGAGAATCCCAAAGCAAAGTCATGAGAGTTTGTGCTCAAAGCGGACAATATCATACCATTGTGGAGAGTCATGTTTCCTAACTGTTTTTACTACACCCGCCCAAGCTAAAATGTTGGAGAATTTTTAGTCTTGATGATTTAAAATATAAAGTCATGAGAGTTTATGCTCAAAGTGGACAATCTCATACCATTCTGGAGAGTCATGTTTCCTAACCGTTTTTACTATATTTTCTGTAGTCTGTATGACCAATCACTAAAATCATGATTTAGAAACTCTTGTCAATTCTTCCTATTCGGGTTATATACTATCAAAGCCATTGTTGTTACTCATTTTTAGCTTATAACATTGATTTATTAAAAATTATTTTCAATGTTTTTCTCATATTTTCTAAAATAATTTTCTCAAATGTGACACGAGGGTCAATCATATGTCGATATTTCCGCAAAGTTGAATTCCACACGAGTGATTTGTTCGTTAGGTTTGAATAAGTGTTACACAATCACTGTCTCATATGCTGCAAGAGTGAAATTGCGACACCGAGGTCATCCCATCACTTTAAAATCTAAATGCTCTCCCTAAAATGACACCAAAAATTAGAGGCAAGCAACCAGGAGTTGAATACAGAAATACCCTTGCAGTCGATAGAGGTAGACGTTTCTGGTCATTCTCTACCAAGGCGAGTATATGATTAAGATAAGAAATCTAAATCGTATAGATGAGACTAGAGAGGTAGATATAGTTGAAGTTGCTAGATGTGTGAATTCTATTTATTAAAGAGGGGGAGATGGCAAGGAGGGAGAAATAACTAAGGCTATCAAATTACAATGCCCAAAAAAAGGCAGGCATAAAATGCTTGAAACTACAAACTTCTTTTAATTTATTTAGACTAGATGATTTGGAACAACAAAGCTGCAGTACATACCACACACAGGCCATCATAGAAGGCAACAGGCAACCAACATACCATGATCACAAGCTTTCATATTCTTTGCAGTTCTGAATATGTTCTCTTAGGCTCTACGGCACACGTCTCCCTCGCATACCCACTCCTCTTTTTGCTCCTCAGCTCCCTCATTCTTTTTCAAACCACATTTTGGGTGCATATCAAAGTCACATTCCTCACAGTAAAACGACCAACCGTATCCCAATTCATCACAGGCATCACAATTATACGCAGCTCGATATGTTCGAACGAGTTCATGTTCTTCATGTAGTTCATGCTTCAGTTTCTCAGGCCACCCCTTTGCCTCTTCTTCCAGCTGCTTCTCTAATTCCTCAAGATGTTCCTTTGTGAACGGATAGGCATCTGCTCCATGAGATGTTATGAGATTCCGAGCGTCTGTTGAGACAGTACGACCACTTCGATCAAGGGCTACAAGTGCAGGAATGCCTTCTATTTTGAACCTACGATTTAGGAACTTCTTCCTTTCATCCCCAAATGGCAGAGCTAACCAAGGCATCCCTGAAAAGAATTCCTCAAATGAATCTTGATCGCTATCACTTGAAATGAAAACGGCTTCGAACTCTTTGTCCTTTTGCTTAATTTCGTTGTATGCCTCGATAAGCTTAGGCAAGAATGCACGGCATGGAGGGCACCAGTGTGCTGAGAAGTAGAGCAAAATGTTCTTGCCAACAAGTTCAGATACTGGAATCTGGTCAAACGAAAGGCAATCAAACACAAAAATAAACATACAGAAACAACTTAAGAGTATAACAATGCACATGGTGGCTTAACTCATTAGATTATGCTGAGAAGTAGCAACAAGAAACTTTACCTTTGCACCATTTTTTCCAATAACAAAATCATTTTCTCCACGAACTAAAAGAGACTCCAGAGTCTGTGACTCGAGCTTTGCCTTCTGAATCTCAGCAAGTTTCTCAAGTTTTTCGGGATTGAAAGGGTAGGCATCAGTACCATGCTCTTCGATGAGTTCTGCTGCATTCGGGTGCAAAGTCTTGCCGTCCTGCCCAATTATGACAAGAGTAGGAATATCACTAAGCTCAAAATATTGAATGAGTTTTCGACATTTCTCATCCTTGAACGGCAATGCCAACCATGGCATAGTTTTGCATGCTTCATTGAAGTCATCATCCTCATCATCTAAAGAGATCAACACAATCTCAAAGTTCTGCTTCCCCTCTTTCAGTTTCTTGTAAGCATCAACCAAAAGAGGTGTGAAATCATCACAAGTTTCATGGCCATACACTGAGAAGTAGAGCCCAATCACCTTCCCTTCTAGCTCAGAGACAGGAATCTGCAGCACAAACAACAAACATTGTGTTATCACATCATTCATGTAACAGCCCAAATCCACCACTAGCCGATATTGTCTTCTTTGAGCTTTCTCTTTCAAGCTTCCCCTCAAGATTTTTAAAACGCATCTATTAGAGAGAGCTTTCCACATCCTTATAAGGCATGCTTTGTTCCCCTTTCCAGCCAATATGGCATCTCACAATCCACCTCCCTTGGAGGCCAGCGAGGACGCTGACACACTGTCTGGTGTCTTGCTCTGATACCATTTTTAAGAACCCAAGCCCACCAAAGCAGATATTGTCTTCTTTAAACTTTCCTTTTCGAGCTTTCCTTTAAGGTTTTTAAAACGCGTCTATTAGGGAGAGGTTTCCACACCCTTAAAAGACATGCTTCGTTTCCCTCTTCATCCTAGGTGAGACCTCGCAATTCCAATGAAAAGTTCAAGATTATAAGAAATGGAATGATGACTATACCTGATTTCCATTATTCGAGATCACATAATTACGTGAGTTCGAAACCAAAATGGAACTAATGGTTTGGTTCCTTTTAGCTTCCTCCTCTCTATCCTTCAGAAGTTGGATCTGTTCCGAAGTAAAAGGATAAGCATTAGCCCCATATTCACTAACTAATCTCACTCCATCATCAGTCGAAACCTTCCCGTTGGCGTCGAGAACAACAAGACGAGGAATTCCCCTCACTTCAAAAAGTTCATTCAAACGTTCTTTGGTAGCCGAATCAGAAAATGGAATGGACAACCATGGCATTTTAGAGAAGTAATCCTCGAAAGATTCTTCATCGCTATCAGCAGAAACAAAGACAACTTCAAAATCACCCTTAGAAGCTAATTCCTCATAAACCCCTGCAAATATCGGAGTGAAACGGTGACAGGGAGGGCACCATGACGCCGAGAAATACAATCCGACAATCTTTCCAATTAAGGAACTGATCTTCACCTGTTCAAAACCCCAAATCAATGGCCGATAAGAGGATTTCATTAATTTCCTTCAACAGATTCCCAAAATTTCCCCGAAAAGTGTGAAAAAAACAGAAAACACCATTTCAGATTTCTGTACGGCTAGTTAAATATCCAGCAACACAACACGAAAACAACAGATTGAGACGACATTAAAATTATGAAGTTACAGTCGCACGAACAGAGTTAGCGTCAGAATATACTAATTGAACAAAGATACATACATACCTGATCGTCATTATTACGGATGAGAAAGTCCCTCCCCTCAGAGGAGAAGAGGGAACTGAGATCGTGCACAGCATCAGAAGCCATAAGTGTTGGAAAATCCTAGATTGTGCGTGATTAACAGTGATGAACAATGAACAATGAACAATGAAGAATGAGATCAAAATCAAAGAAATGGCCTTAATAAAGCGAATTAGAAGCTTCGGGAGCAAGTAACATGGAAATTAAAAAGTTGCTAACACGAAGACTTGGAAGTTGACGAGGGAAAAAAGCATCGAATTCGACTCATCAAATTGAGTTCACATCACAACTCGGTTGTAAAGATATTCGTCCACAATAAAATTTCTCACCGCCATCTCCCTTGCGTTCGTACGGCCTTTTAGGGTATGGAATTACCATATTGCCCTTCCTTTAGGTAAAAAGTCAACTTTCTAGACTTGCTAAAATATGAATTAAAAGGCTTTTTTTATTTTTTATTTTTTTTATTTAATAATGTGTTATCATTAATTTTTGCTCTCCTCTAACTTGTATTTACAACCCAAAAACATATACGAGCTCCTTCTAATGAAAAAAATCAAAATTAACCAAGATTTGGTTTGTCTCTGCTGACATGTTGTGTAAGGATTAAAAAATATATATATTTACGTAGTGTCGAAAAACGTAGGTTTTCAGTGAAGGGCAGGAGAATCCACACTTCCAATGAATCCACGATCATACCTGAAGTCCTATACTTCAGCAAACCCTCAAACCTCACTTGTAAGGAAAGGAAACACGAAATGACGAGAGTAAATGATGGAAGACGAACGGTTTTATCTCGTCGGATATAAATGTCGGCGAAACAGAGACCTTCAATCTAGCAAACGAAAGACGAGCAAACACGCAGAGGATTAACACGATCATTATTCTGGGAAGATGAGGGCGAGCTCAACGAGTTTAGTATGATTTCAAAATATGTAATAACAGTGTTGGTTAGGATGGGTTTAAGAGAAACGATATCAGCCTACTCAAATCAGGAATTCAACTAGTAGATTCTCTTTCGCTTATCGGTCGGCCGACTTTCATTGTTGTAATCTTCGCATTTCCTATTGAGATCCCAAGTTTCCAAGTGGACTCTCTTGGGTACCCACAACCTTGGCTTTTTAGAGAATCCCGCTCCTGTGTCATGGGACTTGTAGGTCAGCAGTCCATCAGGTGGGTTTTTTATCCTTCTAGTTTTGAGTGTCTTCGGAAAATCTCACGTTTTTGAAAGTAGATAATGTATTACAACACCATGAAAGCAAGGACTAACGAGCCAAGGAATACCTTTATGCACACGAGTGATGATTACCAAATGGCGTCATAGTTTTGCTGGCTAAGAGGATGAACTGATTTATCAATACAAACTCTCTGTGCGCAAGTTTGAACTTTAGTTAGGTACGAGTTAGGGCCCTGATCGAGCAACTAGTAGTCTTACCTATCTACCTCTCCAGACACAATATCTTGAGTACCAATAATGGTGACTACATCTGTTGGCATGTGATGTTTGGCCATAGAATCGAGTCCTTGTGAATGGGCAGAGCCAAGTGCTCTTATTTTACGATGGTAGGGACGATTGCTTCCATTACTGACCCTCCTATCCCTTATGTTTAAGAGCGGTATCCCAAAAAGAACGAACAGTCTCGTGGTGGTACGTAAGGCACGAACTCCACGAACGTCCCGCGCCCCTGAGATGGAAGGGAATCCAAAATGAGTATTATTTAGGTCTCTATCATATTATATATTTATTCAACTTATATTTGATGCATCAAGTAATTTTTTCAATTTTAATTTTATTAGAAAACTAATAAATACAAATGGTCGAAGCTTCGTTTACAACCCCTCCGTCCAAAGAAAACTGCATTAATATGGAATGAGTTAATTTGCTCTTAAAAGGTAGAGATTTTTTTGTCGTTAGATAAATATAATGAAAATTGTCGTCTCTGTTTTTGTCTCCACTCAATTTTCGTCCCATCCCGGTCCATCACTGCATTTTTACATATAAAAATAAATATATATTTTGTTAACTATAAATTATAATAAATAAGTTTTAACCTTACGCCATGACTTTGTACAAATGGACTATTAAGCTCAGAGTTGGTAAATACTTGAGATCAAAACAATGAAATTTGGAACTTTTGGAACTTTTTATAAATATTATTGGCCTTTCACTCGAGATCTCATTCATGTCAGCATTTGCATATTCACCCTTTTTTTCATTCTTCTCTTTTATAGTCGAGCTGCTTCTTTAAGTGCTAAAGCTAAAACAACCTCGTGAACGATAGAAGGGCGAAAGTCAATGCGTTTTACAAAGGGGTTATGAAAAAATGACCACTCAAGAAAATATAGTCTCTATCTTCCGATTAGAGATAAGAGATGAATGTCATTGGACTCGATCACTAAATAAAGATATGTGCTACTACAAGACCTGGTTGAAGACGATGTTGAAACGTTCAATTATGTTATAATATTAAAGTCTAATTTTTTTAGAAATTATTTCACTATAAAATAAAAATTACAAGTTAAAAAAGATTTTATTAAAGACGCAAGAGAGGGATATAGCTCAAGCTATCTCAAATTACAATATCCAACAAAACCATTACAGACGATGTGGCTTGAAGCAACATGATTGCTGCATAACATATACCATTTATAAGCTTCCATTTTATTTGCTTTCTAAATACGAATGAACACTTACGCTTTACGGCGGCACACGTCTCCCTCGCAAACCCACCCTTCTTTCCCCTCCTCCTTGCTTTCCTCTTTCTTTTTCAAAGCACATTTTGGGTGCAAATCGAAGTCACATTCCCCACAGTGAAAGGACCAACCAGATCCCACTCCATCGCACCCATCACAAACATATGAACGACGTGTTTTAACAAGTTCATGAGCTTCATGTAGTTCATGTTTCAGTTTCTCAGGCCACCCCTTTGCCTCTTCTTCTAGCTCCTCCTCCAATTGCTTCAAACGTTCATCTGTAAACGGATACGCATCTGCACCATGAGCTGAGATGAGCTTCCGGGCTTCTGTCGAGACTGTGCGACCACTTTTGTTAAGCGCTACAAGTGCAGGAATGCCTTGGATTTTGAACCTGCGATTCAGGAACTTCTTCCTTTCATCCCCAAATGGCAGGGTTAACCAAGGCATTCCTGAAAAGAATTCTTGAAACGAATCTTGGTCTCGATCACTTGAGATGAAAACGACTTCGAACTCTTTGTCCTTTTGCTTAATTTCGTTGTATGCCTCGATAAGCTTAGGCAAGAATGCACGGCATGGAGGGCACCAGTGTGCTGAGAAGTAGAGCAAAATGTTCTTGCCAACAAGTTCAGAGACTGGGATCTGGTCAAACGAAAGGCAATCAAACACAAACATAAACATACAGAAACAGCTGAAGAGTATAACACAGCACATGGTGGCTTAACTCATTAGATTATGCTGAGAAGTAGCAACAGGAAACTTTACCTTTGCACCACTTTTCTCAATAACAAAATCATTTTCTCCATGAACTAAAAGAGACTCCAGAGTCTGCGACTCGAGCTTTGCCTTCTGAATCTCAGCAAGATTCTCAAGTTGTTCGGGAGTGAAAGGGTAGGCATCAGAACCATGCTCTTCGACGAGTTCCACTGCATTCGGGTGCAAAGTCTTGCCGTCCTGCCCAATTATGACAAGAGTAGGAATCTCACTAATCTCAAAATATCGAATGAGTTCTCGACATTTCTCATCCTTTAATGGCAATGCCAACCAAGGCATTGATTTTAATGCTTCTTTGAATTCCTCATCTTCATCATTGAAAGAGATCAACACAATCTCAAAGTTCTGTCCCTTTTCTTTCAGTTTCTCGTAAGCATCGACCAAAATAGGCGTAAATTCGTCACACGCTCCATGGCCATACACTGAGAAGTACAGACCAATCACTTTCCCTTCTAGCTCAGAGACAGGAATCTACAGCACAAGATTATAGTTTATCACATTAATCCAGAAAATAATCTACAAACAAAAAATTGAAGAAATTATACCTGATTTCCATCATTCGAGATCAAATAATTGCGTGAGTTTGAAACCAAAATGGAACTTATGGTCTGGTTCCTTTTCGCTTCCTCCTCCCTCTCCTTCAGGAGTTGGATCTGTTCAGAAGTAAAAGGATAGGCATCAACGCCATGATCGCTCACCATTCTCACTCCTTGATCAGTTGAAACCTTCCCGTTGGCATCAAGAACAAGAAGGTGAGGAATTCCCCTCACTTTGAAGAGTTCCTTCAAGCGTTTTATGGTGTCCGAATCGGAAAATGGAATTGACAACCAGGGCATTTTAGAGAAGTAATCCTTGAATGAGTTATCATCTCTATCAGAAGAAACGAAGATAACTTCAAAATCGCCCTTAGATGCTAGTTTCTCATAAACCCCAGCAAAAATCGGGGTGAAACGACGACACGGAGGGCACCATGATGCCGAGAAATACAATCCCACGTTCTTTCCGATTAAGGAACTGATCTTGACCTGTTCAAAAGCCGAAACTAACAACCGATAAGAGGATTTCACTAATTTCCTTCTACAGATTCCCAAATCTTCAAACAACAGTTCAAATCTTCCTAGGGTAAGTTAACCATTCAGTAATCTAACACGAAATCAACAGATTGAAATGAAAGTAAACTATGAATTTAACATCATCGTCCTACTGAAGCAATATCAATTGAGAAACAACACGCACCTGATCGCCATTGTTGCGGATGAGAAAGTCTCTCCCCTCAGATGAAATCAGGGAGTTCAGATCGTGCACAGCGGGAGAAGCCATAATCCTTCAGAAATCCTTGTTACTGTTGTGCCGTTGAAGCTAATTACCAACGATGGATGAATAAAAATCAAAGGAATTGGTGATAATATATAGAAATCAGAAGCTTAGGCAGCAAGCAAATTCTCGATAATGACAAACCATTCGAGTCGCCCTGAAGTCTTCGCTTGTTTTAATTTATAGAACCGACCATTGTTAAATGTAGTCAAGTAATTTTGTCCTCCTGCCCCTTTCACATTTCATTTTTTTATTGTTATTTTTCAAGTTATTGAAAATTAATTTTTTAAATGACAAACTTTTGAAAAATAAAAATTAATCTAATTTTTTAAATATCGAAATGTAGTTTTTATAATTTAATTAAGAATTTGAAAAATGAAATTCATTGTGAGGAAAAAATTTTAATTTCAAAAATAAAAATATTAGATTCTTAGCAAAATTTTAAAAACAAAATTTCATTTTTATTTATTTATTTATTTATTTTTACTCTTACATTTTATTAATACTTTTAAAATTCAAGCCAAATTTTAGAAATTTTAAAAATAAGTTGTTGGAGTTGGATGAAAGTGGCACGTTTCGCCCATTCAGGAAATAATCATGAGTTTATAATCAAGAAATACTCTCTCTATGAGTACGAGACCTTTTGGAGAACCTTAAAGTAAAGTCATGAGATCTTATGCTTAAAGTGAATAATATCCGTACCATTATGGAGAGTCGTGTTCAATTAACATAGTATCAGAGTCATGTCCTAAACTCTCCATTCTTTTTGGGAAGCCCAAAGCAAAGCGGCAATCCGAGTTTAGTTATTTTATTTTATTTTATTTTTTTCCAATCTAGACCATATTTATTATGCGAACAAAGAAGAAAACTCTAATGACTTCGAACCTAGCCCCTCTCCTTACATTCATATAGCACTTAGGAAAAGTCCAGCCATTGCTAGCCATTGAGCCTTCTTCTTCTCATGAGCACCGTCGAACCAATCTCGCAGTTTTCGCCATCCCCCTCCACGCTACTTATCTACCATTGTCGTCTGGTGGACTCACCCCTCGTCGCTGTGCTGCCGTCCATAGAAGGAGATTGCTTAGGAAAGCCACTCACCAATAAGAGACCTTTCTATTGGATCTAAATGTTTTTGTTTTTAAAATTATTGTATATGCATGCACGGGTTATAAAATATTTTTTTTATTACTTATTTTTAGATGTGATAGGATTATTTTTATGCAACTAATAATTCTACGATGAACGTACCTTAGTTACTTTGTAATTATTAGTTTAGTCACCTTAGAGTGATGAGAACGATTTGATGATGATTAGAAGTTGGTTAATTTGTAATTACCACTACTGTCAAGTAATGATAACGATTTACGAGTAATTGCATGTTGGTTTTATTTGTAATTACTACCATAATCACCTTAGACTAATGATAATGATTGTATGTTGGTTATTTCATAATTAAGTCAAAGTCACCTTTAGAGTGATAAAACCAATTTGGTGGTGATTTTGATTGTCGTAACTAATAAATGCTTGCATATCTCACCATAATAGATGGGTTTCTTATCAAACATTTTAAATACTCGTCATAGTCAAGATTGTAGAAGAAGAATAACGGGTTGGTCCGAAGTCATATTAGAAAAATCCTTCTTTATGGAGACTTTCGGATTTTTCAATTGCAAGAATTATTTGATCAAATAGCATACATTTTAAAGAATCTTTTTTATAAAAAAAAATATACCCAAAGCATAATTTTACTTTAAAGAATGAGCACACAGGATCAAATTGATTTTTTTTTTTAAATCGTTAATTTACAGTGTTTTGATAAAAAAAATCATAATATCGAGTCAATGATATCTACGACGTAAACATCATAAACACTCTAATCAACCTAGTAAAATCTTAAGGTTTTCGATAATAATTTCTTGAGTGATGTCAATTTACTAGTACTTCTGCAGTACTTTTGAAATGAACATGGGTTAGGTTTCTACATTAACGCTATAGTTTCTAAATGTCTCTAACATTGAAACTTAATATCGTATCACTGAATGAGCCCAATCAACTTTATATAAAAACTCGAGAATCTCAGAGAAAAAAAGAAAAAAAGAAAAATATTTCCATACTTTCCAATTACAAAATACTTATGCCCCATCAATATCACCCAATAATGTAATGGGTAAATCAATAATTCATCTATTTTAGAAATATTAGGGAAGTGCTTGAACGTTTTTGAAAAGCATCTCAATTTTGGTATGAATAGTTACGATTACCACCGAAAGTAATGTTCGTGTCAATAATTTTATGAACTTAATGAGGAGCATCATTTTCTATTCTAAAATTTTAATTCGTCCATTTTTTTAGTTTATAATCATATGAATGAACGATGAAAATTTAAATTTTTAAATAATAATTGATAATTAATAAAAAAAAAACATTCCTTAATAAATTCCATAATAACCTAAATTTTAAAATTCTAAATATTTAAATATTTAAATTTATTTTAATAATTTAACTTAAAAGAAATAAAATAGCTAACACAATTAATTATTATTTATAATTTAGTAAAATAATAAAATTGTAAAAAAAAAAATATTATTAGTAACATTTTTAATTTTTAATGTAATAGATACCAAAATTTTTATTCCATTTTAAACAAAATTTTAGGGTCCCACTATCTAGAGCTGACATGGCAAGTTCTCAGTGGCTTCTACTAAGATGACATGGCCCACTATTAACGACCCGGATCCGTCTCCCCCAACTCAAATGACTACGATCTCTGGATCTTACCCGAATTCTCTTTTCGGAGGCTGTGATGAGCTGCTTCAACGCTGCCCCCACCGCCGCCGCCGCCGCTGCTGCTAGCCCTCTATTGATGAATGGCTTTTCTATCTCACATGGTGCCCCTCTAAAATGCCGTCTTTCTCCTCTCAACCCCTCAGAAAACCTGGTTTGGTTCGCCCCAAATCCAAGCAACGCCCAGATTCCACTCGCCCATGTGTCGTTCAGTCCCTTCTCAGCCTCTCTTCTCGAGGGAACCTCTCGGAAGCCCTTTCTTACCTCGACCCATTGGCCCAAAGAGGCATACGCTTGTCCTCTAGCGCTTTCGTCCACCTCTTGCGACTTTGTGCCAAAGCCAATTCTCTCAAAGGTGGTAAATGTATTCATCTGCATTTGAAAAATACGGGGTTTAAACGCCCCACGACTATTGTAGCCAACCATTTGATTGGTATGTACTTCAAATGTGGCCATGAGATTGATGCACGTAAGGTGTTTGATAAAATGTCTGTGAGGAATTTGTACTCTTGGAATCATATGCTTGCTGGATATGCTAAGTTGGGGAATGTATATCAAGCTAGGAAGTTGTTTGATGGAATGACGGAGAAGGATGTTGTTTCTTGGAATACCATGGTTCTTGCTTATGCTAAGAAAGGGTGTTTCAATGAAGTTGTTGGGTTATACAGAGACTTCAGGAGACTGGAGATGGGTCTCAATGAGTTTAGTTTTTCTGGTGTTTTGATTCTTTGTGTGAAGCTGAGGGAATTGCAGCTCACGAAGCAGGTTCATGGGCAGGTATTGGCAGTTGGATTTTTGTCTAATGTAGTGCTTTCTAGTTCAATTATTGATGCATATGCAAAATGTGGAGAGATGGGATGTGCGCGGAAATTGTTTGATGAAATGCTTGTGAAAGATATCCTCGCGTGGACTACTATGGTATCTGGATATGCTAAATGGGGTGATATGAATTTGGCTAGCGAATTGTTTCACCAAATGCCTGAAAAGAATCCTGTCTCCTGGACAGCTTTAATATCAGGATATGCAAGGAACGGTTTGGGGCATGAGGCACTCGATTACTTCACAAAAATGATGATGTTTCGAATTCATCCTGACCAATATACATTTAGTAGTTGTCTCTGCGCATGTGCCGGTATTGCTGCACTGAAGCATGGCAAACAAGTACATGCCTATATGATAAGAACGAACTTCAGATGCAACACAATAGTCGTCAGCTCTCTCATTGACATGTATTCAAAGTGTGGCATGTTAGAAGCAGGCTGCCGTGTTTTTCACCTTATGGGAAATAAGCAGGATGTTGTATTGTGGAATACAATGATATCTTCCCTAGCTCAACATGGTCATGGGGAGAAAGCAATGCAGATGTTCAATGACATGGTTAACTCAGGATTGAAGCCTGATAGGATCACGTTCATCGTGATCCTTAGCACGTGTAGTCATTCAGGGCTCGCGCGAGAGGGACATCAGTTTTTCAAGGCCATGACGTATGATCACAGCGTTCTCCCTGATCAAGAACACTATGCATGGTTAATTGAGCTCTTGGGTGGAGCGGGATGTTTTAATGAGTTGGTAAACGAGCTAGAGAAGATGTCGTGTAAGCCGGATGATCGAGTATGGAATGCGTTACTTGGTGTGTGTAAAATACATGGTAGTATAGAGCTAGGAAGAAAAGTGGGTGAGCATGTAATGGAGCTGGATCATCAATCTTGTGCAGCTCATGAATGTCTTGCAAGTTTGTATGCTTTTCTAGGGAAATGGGAGTCAGTAGAAAAGGTGAGGGAAGAACTGGAAGAGAGATTGGTGAAGAAGGAGCGTGCAATTAGTTGGTGTGACATTGAAAATAAGGTACATTCTTTCGTTGCAGATCACATTCATTGAAGGAAGATAGGCATCCCACACAGAAGAAGAATTTTCAATCATTGAAAAGAGTGTTAAGGTACATTATTATTGTTATTTTTGTTGGGGTATTTCACACAAGTGATCTTACATATAGGATGATAAAATGCTCCATATTGAACCTTCATTTGGGTCTTAATCCATATAATTTGTTTATTATCTCGCTATTAATCAATAATTATGGCCCGAGTTAGTTTATGAGTTCTTCATTTTGCGAGTTTAGTTTGTGCTATAAAATTTGGCCTTTGGCCTATATTTCCATGATTGAAGCAAGAGGGAAAAATCGCTAAGGGTGTCAGTACCTCAAAATGATTTTGCTCTAACCAATGCAAAGCAGAGATGTCAATTTAACCTACAAGATCAAGTCTTTGTGAGGAATCCCCATTTAAACAAAGAAGTAGAGGACCGAAGAGATTTTTCTATATTAACTTAGCAGAATCCTTATATATATATATATATATATATATATATATATATATATAT